CTCTCCAGTATCAGAGCCCTCCTATGGAAAACGTTCAAGGATAATCAAGTGGAGGTGGTAGTGATCAAAGAAGGGAACTCCATCATTGTTACTTGTTATGCTCCTCATTATCTGATGGAGAGTTTACTAGTGACAGCTAGAGATAACGTTGATATGCTAAAGGAGATGGGATTGATCAGTTTAACTATTGGTTACTATACTGTGTATGATGAACATGGAATTGATGAGGTTAGTGAATGTATGTGTATATAAATTAATAGTATACTTTAATATTTGATAGGAGGTGAAGAGTCTAATGAAGAAACTGGAGATGGTAGAGAGTGAAAGAGATGATTTACTTGAAGAGAATGCTAAATTGAAGGGTACAATAGACACATTAGGTATATACTAATTATTATTAATTATAATTATTGATAATTTAAAGGTATCTCATATGAAGGTAGAGAAGTTGATGAAAGCAATAAGTCATCAATACAATCATCAGGTATAATGAGATTCATGTTTTGAGACATGATTTTAATGAATATTGTCATGTTTCTGAATTTTGAATAAATACATCATGTAACTAAATTAATGTTGCTAATAATTTAATTGGTTCATTTTTATTATTTAGAGTCCGAGAAGGAAGAGAGTAAAAAGAAGATGACAAAAGCAATGCAAATGGAAATAGATCATTTACGATCATCTCTTCAAAGCAAAACAGGTATATACAGACATACTTAATACTGTATAATGATAATACAGTACAGCTGTGTTTAGAGTATCATTATTGCTTGTACATTAATTTGTTGTAGTAGGAGGATGATTGTATATACTCAATAATAATACTGGTCCTTCTTACATGCAATTAAATAATGTGCAATTTATTGATAAATATTTTAAATATTATTATTAAAATAGTGACCATTTTTTGATTTGTGTTACAATGACTATTATTAATGACTAGGAATAGAAGAAACGCTAATTGGAGTAGAGAGAACATTAATTGAAAGAGAAAAGGAGATAGAACAGTTACAGGAAAAGATATCATTAATGAATATACAACAACTGAAAGAAACTTCAATTACTCTTAGTATGTATTACATTATATTAACATAATGACTAGTACTAGTATTTTAGGAAAGGATCACTCTACACAATCAATAGATCCACCAAAAGGACCAGTTTATGTAGCTATGTATGACTGGGAGGCAAAGGAAAGTGGTCAACTTTCAATCAAGAAAGGAGAGAAACTTGAGATCAAGGAAGAGCATACTGAAGGATGGTGGCTAGCAAGATCATTAGATACTGTTCAAGAGGGATTTGTTAATATAAAGCATATTAAAAAAGATGAAGAGAGTGAACTGTCAACATTGGAATCACTTGAACTATTTCGTTATGCAATGACAGAAAATGTTGACATACCTAAAATCAAGGAAATTAAGAGGAGGAGCAACGTTGCGAGAGCAAGTCTCTTTTTATCATTAATTAAACAAGATTCAGTTCTGCTAGATCAACTTAGAAAAAAAGAACATGGTAAGATATATTTATATGTACTAATAATCTATAGAGTATTTTGAGGGTATTAGATATTGTCCATGATCTGCAATTTAAGATGTTCCGGCATACAAAATTAGTATTTATGTATTAATTTTTGTACATTATAAAATTCACAAAAATAACTACATGTAGCTATTCAGAAGTGTTGCTCGCCTTAGCGATTAAAAATGATAGTAGAGAATTATACTAGATAATACAGTAATTATTAATTATAATTTTTTATGTATTCAGGAAAACCTAAAGCAATTCGGTGGTATGATGATGGTGTTCAACTGACCTCTCCATCTTTAATACAATGTCAAGAAGTAGTTTCTCTATTAACATACAAACATACGAACATTGTCATCAAGGAATCATCTCCTGACATTGTGTGTGATCTGTTGCCAGTTTTATTACAAAATGAAAAGGTGAAGCACTTGAGAATACAAGACACTCAGCTAACACAGGACTGCATCTCATTCTTATGTAACTTACTGGCTAATAATAAATCATTAATAGATTTAGATCTTATTAACTGTTCCATTGATGACAAAGCAGTTGCTGATATTACAAACGTACTACAAACACACAATAACACACTTTTAGGATTATTCTTCTTTTATAATCCTCATATTACTTCAGTTAGTGCTCAGTCTCTTTCTGAACTAATTATCAACAATTCAACATTAGCTGGATTACAAATAACAGGCACTTCAATATCATCTGATGGAATATTACTAATTCTTCAATCGTTAATAATTAATAAAAATATAAAACTCTATCTAGGTATGAAAGACAAAGATACATGCACAGAATACCATGACTATAATTTTATAAAAGATAGAGTAATATTTTTTGATTGATTAATTAATTAATAATAATTGTATTTTTGTTATTGACAATGCTGACTCATCAATTATTAAATTTTAATAACAATTTATTTAAACACAGAAAATTAACAAAGTGATTTATGATAAACACGTACATAAACAAGTAAATACAAAATAATAATAATAATAATAATAATAATTGGTTGACCCATTTTAATAATAAATTATTATTGCAATCAAAGACAATTAAAATAAAATAGAAGAGAATAGTACAACCAGCTTATTGGGCAAGCAGTACATGTGTCAGTTGTTATTAAAATAATAATAATAATAATAATAATCATTAATTTATTATCTTATTATAACTGAACTATTATGATGGTCCTTTGTCCCCTCCCCCTCCTCCACAGCATCCTCCCTTAGCACGTGGTGTATCAGTCTGTCTTAAGAGAGAGGCACCAGCTGGTAAACTAGTTAAACGGTAACTTACAAGCTATGAGACAAGAGAGAGAGAGAGATTATGCTACAATAGTACATACTACAGTACATCATTAGTAGCTACTCACTTATTTCAATGAACATTTCCTCAACATTCCTAGCAGTGAGGGCACTAGTCTCTGCAAATATGGCATTAACTTCTGATGCATAAGTCTGACCTTGTTCAGCTGGAATCTGAGAGGAGAGGAGAAGGGAGGAGGGAGAGAAAGGAGAGGAGATAAAAGGAGAGTATAGTAGAGAGAGGGAGAGAAAGAGGATTTATTACATTTTCTGATACATATTGATGTACTAATGCTGTGTAGGAAATTTGAGCTGATTCTGACTTAAATTTTTCAAGTTATGGCCATTTTAAGAAAACTGCCAATTTTTGAAAAATACCCATGGTTTTTTCCAAAAAATGGCTCCAAAATCACCCCAAATTTTTATTACATTTTCTGATACATATTAATGTCCTTATGCTGTGTAGAAAGTTTGAGCTGATTCCGACTTAAATTTCCCAAGTTATGGTCGTTTTTAAAAATGGCTCCAAAATCACTTCAAATTTTTATTGCATTTCAATGCTCTTATGTACATATACAATTATACTAGTCATACTTCTCTTTTATCTTCAAGGTCACATTTATTTCCAGCAATTGCTAATACAATATTAGGTGGGTCTAGTCTGTGTAGTTCTGCTATCCAATCCTGTAACACTGTGAATGATCCCTACATGTACAACAATGCACATAATAATAACAACAACAACAACAATAATAAATAATAATAACAATAAATGTAAATAATATTTCGCATTTTTTTACAAAATTCATGAAAATAAAATCTGTAATCAAAAAGTAGAAAACCACAAAAATTAAAGCCAAAAATTGATTTTTTAGACAGAACCACAAAAATTTTGGGCCACAAAATTTTCTGCTATACGGTAATAATAATTATTATTCTTACTTCATTTGTTATATCATACACCACAATAGCTGCTGCTGCATTTCTGTAATACATTGGTAATAGTGACCGATACTAATTGGAAGAAATTAAAAAGAATAAAAATAAAATAAATAAAATATATTTATTGTGTGACTTACTCTCTCCTGTCCAGCTGTATCCCATATTTGAAACTTGATTGTGCTGTTGTCAACTGTTAGACTTTTTGACATAAAAGAAGCTCTGAAATACAAATACATGTAACGTCTGATAAATACATGTAATGTTTAATAAATCATGTAATATTTGATAAAATAATTTTAATGTCTGATAAATACATGTACATGTACATTGTATGTATACATTTAATGCTTGATAAAATATTGC